ATGTGTCTGCACTCAGGAAAAGGGGAATTATATTGCAGAGGCAACAAGCTGTAACATCCCAGGCATGGACAACCCAGATGGGATCCAAGCAGACTATTAACTGAAGGTTTTATGTGTATCCTCACCAGAGAGTTTACCAACAGGAACAACATGGATTCTGTGGAGTTTTCAGTTCCCCCTCTGAGGTTGAACCTGTGTTATCAGCAAAGCTCAAGGTTCTTAACCTGCTGCCATCTTCTCTCTCCCAATCTTGCATCGCAAGCACAATTTAAAGGTAATGTGAAATTTTGTGTGTTCGGAGTGACTCTGTAATGGAAAGGCATTTTCAAAAGGGAAGGATTTTAGGATTTTCACCATTTCTCTCATGCTTCATGTTTGCCCAACTATCTTCTGGAAGCTCGATCCACAGTCAGACTCTGTAGCCAAGAACTCCTCCCCACCTCTCACTCTTCCTGACCTGCCTTTTCTCAGTACAGCAGATGTGACAGTTCTTCAAACCTGCATCAAACTAAAAATATAACTTTATACCAGTATTAGACAACTTATTTTATTTGGATAATCTATATTAGCACCCAAAGGTGGGCTGATCCTTTAGACAACATTGCTATTGTTAATCAGCTTTACAGAGCCAAACACTGAGACACTGCATTTCTCTGCTCCTTTACTGTGAAATACCCAGCTCTGCCTTGGATGTTGACCTTGGCAGGGAGCACACACAGGGCAGGGCTCCTCCTCTGCTCATTGGCGTCAGAGGAGAAACCAGCCTTTATTCCCTTTGAAGTCCCAGAGACTGAAAATGTCTCTGCAGACAGTAGATATTATTCTGCTTTTCACAGAATGACAGAATATTGGGGTTGGAAGGGACCTCCTCCAACAGGAATGTGTCCGGATGGGTTTGGAATGTCTCCAGAGAGGGAGACTCCACACCCTCCCTGGGCAGCTGTTCCAGCGCTCTGCCACTTCCATGGAAAGAAGTTCTGCCTCATGTTGAGGTGGAACTTCTTCTGGTTTAGTTTGTGCCCGCTACTCCTCGTCCTGTCTCTTGGCACCACTGAAGAGAGCCTGGCACCGTCCTCTGACAGCTCTTGGAGATGTTGGTATGGATTGATGAGATCCCCTCTCAGCCTTCTCTTCTCCAGACTAACCAGGCCCAGCTCCTGCAGCCTCTCCTCATCAGAGAGGTGCTCCAGAGCCCTCATCATCTTTGTGGCCTCCACTGGACCCTCTCCAGCAGCTCCTTGTCTTTCTTGAACTGTGGAGCCCAGAGGTGGACACAACACTCCAGATGTTCCTCCCCAGGGCTGAGCAGAGGGGCAGGATCCCCTCCCTGACCTGCTGGCAACGCTCTTCCCAATGTACCCCAGGATCCCATTGGCCCTTCTCCAGCTCATGGTCAACTTGCCATCCACCAGGACCCTCAGGTCCTTCTCCACAAAGTTGCTCTCTGTAGGTGACTCCCAACCTCTGCTGAGACTGGTTTCTTCCCTTTCCTGGAGCTCTTCAGGCCACCCTGCTTTTGATGTCTTGGAAAACAAGAACTCCGGGACTCCACTCGAGTTAATTCCTGGTAAATACAGAGCCAGCAAAGGTGCTGTTTGACCGGAGTGGCTGCATTTGCTATTTTAAGCTTAACAACTCCATGTTTGTTTGTAAAGCTTTTACCAATCAATAACCACAAGGTATCAACTGATCCCCACAGGCAGTGAAACAGCCCCCCTCCTGCCTGTGGAAGCATTGCCTGAGGACCACCTGTGCTCATCTCTGCTCTTACCTGGTCCTTCCCCATCAATGTGGTCCCCTCTGGTCCAAAAACCAGCAGGAGTTTAGCAAACACCACGGGATCTACCTTGGGAGTGATACAACCTCAGTTTGACAGACAAGGACACAGGGAGCACAAAAAAAGCAGCTCGTCCAAGGTAATTTGTTGGCTCAGGGAATCTCCAAAAATAGAACTGGTTACTCCTGCCACTTCAGTTAACCTTTGGGCTGTGCCCCTGGATCTTTCCTTGGTTCACTGGGAATAATGTGCCCCTGGTCAGGTGCTGGCTGAGGACCAAGGCAAGAGGCAGGAGTCTGAATTTTACAGATTTCACCAACTTTCAGGCTGCTGTTCATACTTTTGCCCTTCAAAATAAATTTGCCATCTGAATTGAAACAGAGCCACAAAATGGATTTGTGCTGATAACACCAAGGTGTTTGATCCCCATATGGGTCATTTACTTAAGAGTTGGACTCGATGATCTCTGTGGGTCCACCTCAAAATATTCTGTGTTTCTTGAGAGGCTGCAGAGAGGAGGAGAGGAGAGAGGGGAACACAGAGAAGCTGCCAGGGAAGGCTCAGACTGCAGAAGATGGCAAACAGCTGACCCAGCAAGAACTCAGAGGTGCTGGGGCTTCCTTGGAATCCCCATCTCACTGTGCTCATGCTATTTTACCGCTGCAATATCCCCAACACCGCTCTGTCCTCTGGACCTGCCTCTGCTCCAGCTGCAGCCCTAACCTTCTGGCAGGAGCTTCCCCCATTACATATTCCTTAGGTTTGCTCATCAGCTGAATGGCTTGAACCCTCCCCACCCCTCGTGAAGGGAGAAGGGGGGAAAGGAGAGAAGAATTTGCAGGAAAAAACCCCAATGTTTAAGAATTCTTGGTCTGCACCAGCGAAACAGCAGCAATAATTCATTTGAGGGATACAGCTGTTTTCCCAAGAGGATAAACAAAATCGTGGCTTTTCTCCAGTTTTATCAGCCAGAAATGACTGAGAACAGTTAGCTGATCCTCCTGATCATAACCATTAAAAATAAATATCAATAATATGTATTAATATATATTATAAATGTATAAATATATAAAAAAAATAAATATGTGTTGTTGGGCTCCAGTTTAAATAATCAGGACCCAGGAAGGGCAGGAGATGGCAGAGCTGCCCCCAGAGCACAGGTTCTTCCCCAGGTCTACTTCCCCAGGTGTCCTGCTGCCACCATGGCCAGAACTTGTGCCTGTGGTGCTGTTCAGTGGTTCCAGCCCTGTCCTTCCTTTGTGCTGATTGGAAAACAACAGTGTGGGGCTGGTTTGTTTGGGGCTGTGCTCCGCCAGCCTCCACACTGCTCCCTCCTGGAGTGAAGTACAGCTGTATCCTTAATCCTAAACGTCAAGGGGTCAACCTGGAGTCCCCCCTGGAGCTTTCTGCCAGAGGTTCCAGGTAAAGCCATTCCCCCAACTGTGGTTAGAGCACATTTTCTACATCGTGTCCTGTCTGGGGTGGCCCCAGAGCTTCTGTGTGAACTATCTTCTGCTTCATTTGGTCAAGGGCTTGTTGTAGCTCAGGGCCACCTTTGAAAATAGTTGTTCTTAACAGAATCACAGGAGCCTTAAGGCTGGAAAGGACCTTTCAGATAGTCAACCCAGCACTGCTGTGATCACCACTAAACCCTGTTCCCAAGTGCCACATCCACGTTTTTTTAACATCTCCAGGGATGATGACTCCACCACTGCCCTGGGCAGCCTCTGCCAATGCTTTACAACCCTTTTGATGAAGACATTTTCCCTACTATCCAATCAGAAAACCACCTTTCAGAGGGATTTGGACTATTTCCTTCGCTTTCCCAAAACCCTCTGCCGTGCTCCCGCACACCATGAGCACGCTGCGGGCGTTGCAGAGCTCCCCCCTGTCCGGCACAGCGCGGATCGGTGAGCAGGGCTGTGTTTGCACCCCGGGACAGGCCATTCCCGGTGTCCTGGTCACGCCTGTCCCCGTCCGCCACCGGGGCATCGAGTGCGGGTAACCCCGAGGGGGCGGGGCCTCACTGTAATCGACAGCTGCTTCATCCAATAGAGCGGCGATACGGGCCTCTCCAGCGGGGGTGTGGCCTCGCTGTGACTGACAGCCCCCTTAAACCAATAGAGCAGCTGTGCGCCTGGTATGGGCGGGACCTCGCATTACTGATAGCGGCTTCGCCCAATGGCACCTTTCGAGCAGGGCCGTGGGGGGCGGGGCAGGTTTAAAGGGGCCCCGCCCAGCGCGCGCGCGGCAGCAACTCGTGAAGCGGCGCGCGCGCTCCCGCCGGGCCCTGAGGTAACGCGCGGTCCTAAAGCCCGACCGCCGTCCTAAAGCCCGCGCCGGGGGTGCAGGGAGGGGGCTGGGGGCTAGATATGTCTGTGTATGTGTGTATGATGGCTCCCCACGGCTCTCTGGGTGTCCCCAGCGGGGCTCGGTGCGGGTGGGATGCGTGGCCCGAGCCCACCCGTGGCGGGGGTTTGGCTGTGGGATTCACCTTTCTTGTGTCGCCTGCTCCTAATGTCCCTTCGCGGGTGGGTGTCTGGGGAGTGGGCGTGAAGGTTTTTTTGGGATTTTTGGTTAAATAAGCCCAGGGCGGGTTGGGGGTAACCCCCCACTCGGATTGGGGATAACCTTGTGGGCTGAGGCAGTGGGTGATCCGAGGAGAAGGTCTGTCCCTTCCACATGTCACCTGTGCCCATCGAGGGAATATGAGGTGACCTGGGCACTTGGGGGTGCTCTGTGGGGTGATCTGAGCACTTGGAGGTGCTCCATGCACTGACTCGGGCGCTTGGAGATGGTCCATGAGGTGACCTGAGCACTCAGTGATGCTCTGTGAGGTGATCTGGGTGCTTGAGGATGCTCCTTAAGGTGACCTGGGTGCTTGGGGATGCTCCATGCAAGGACCTGGGCACTTGGAGATGCTCCATGAGGTGACCTGAGCACTTAGATATGCTCCATGCGGTGACCTGAGTGCTTGGGATGCTCCTGCGCTGGCTCCCAGACCTCCTGAGCTTCCAGCAGATACAATGCCATGTGTGGCAGTGGCAGAAACACAGCTGATGCATCCCTGGAAGCACTTCTCTGAGCTTTCCTACATCCCTGTGCTCTCGTCCTCCTCTAGAGGGGAATTCCCACCCGCTGTGCAGATGGTGCTGTAAAGCAAACAGCTCTGTAGGAAAGAGGAACTCTGAGCAGCCTCCTGGTGAGTCACATTGCTGTGGAATCCACCTGACACATCCTGGGGTCCTGGAGAAGCAATCTACACGGAATTGAGAGTTCTGTGCTTGTCTGGGTGGCTGAGGAACAGTTCTGGTGCCATCAGTGCCCTGCCCTGGGTCTGTAGGCAGCTCTCTTCAGCCAAAGCTCAGCTCTGAAGGTGCTGTGGTGGAGTCAAGTGTCTGTGTGCAGTCCTGACAGTCACTCATCATCCTCAGAGAGCTTGGAGTTACTTTTCCTCGTGCTCCCTCCTCTCCAGCATCAGGTAATTCCCCAGCATGACCAGTGGTACTGCTGAAGACAAAACCTGTAGTGCTCAGGAAGTTTTTGTGGCTGCCCTTGCTAAAAATGGAGTTTATCTAAAAGAGGAAGAGTGGGTTGCTCAGCTTCTGTTTCCTCACTTAATAAATCTTGAAAGGAGACAAAGGGGCAAAAAGGGCCAGGTTGGAGTTTTGGTGGAGATGTGGAAAGGCAGCAAGATATGGTGGCAGTTGCCTAAAACTGCTCTGGGCAGTGAAATCTGGAGCGGGGTGGATGTGATGTCTGTACCAGTTAGAAGAAATCAGCCACAGGAAACCGAGTGGGCTGTGCTGGAAAATGTCAAAGGCTGATAACACCCTCAGTAATTTGATTTTGAACTGATGTTGTTGAAGCTCTCTGTGTGTTTTAGGTAAAGGTGTGTTCAGAGCATGTTATAAATGAAACAAACCTCTTCTCCTGCCAGGAGCTTGCACGTTGTCAGACATTTATTCAAGCTCTGCAGTGGTTTCAATAGAATCATTCAACTTCCAGTTCTTCTGGGACACGGTGCTCCCTCAAAGCACAGAGTGTTTTGTATTTAAATGATTTAAAGGAGTCACACGGGTTTAATTAAAAGGGAGGTTTCTTGCCGCGCGGGTTTTTGTTTGGGTGTGTGTTCTCCACGTTCCTGAACCTCTGTGGGACATCAGGATGTGTTAACTGCTCTGGGAACAATGGGGGGCTGTTGTGTGTCCAGGAGAGAATCATTCTGATCCCATCCTGGTGATCTGCCCCAGGGTTTACACTTGGCTCTGGTGAATCATGGAATGGTTTGGGTTGGAAGGGACCTTAAAGCTCACCCAGTTCCAACCCTGAAACACGTGTGTTTTCCAGTGGCTTGTATTTATAACTGAGCATCAAGGAGGGGAGGACCGAGCTGCAGAGCTGAGCAGAGCTAGGGAGTGTATGTTGGGAAATTTTTGTTTCTAACCTAAATTTGTTGTCTAAAAGGCATGACTGGTTTGGGATCACTGTGTTCACAAGAAAACCTGCACAACCAGCTGGCACTTCAGCTGTCTATCCAAAGTCAGGTTGAATGGGCCTTGGAGCAACCTGGTCTGGTGGAAGGTGCCCCTGCCTATGACAGGGGATGGAATGAGATGAGTTTTAAGGTCCCTTCAACCCAAACCATTCTAGGATTCAATGATTCTGTGACAGCTGGAGTGAGAACACCAGTTTTCCCTTGAAACTCTGTTGCTGCATTAAAAGCACAGCCAGCCAGAGGAACACTGTAATTAGTGTGGAGGCCAAAGCTTCCTCCAGGGCCACAGGGGAGCCCTGAACCCCTTGTTGTGGGTACTGGTGGGTGCAGAATTGCACAAGGGGGTCAGGCCCCGTGGGGTTTGTCCCTCCTAGGCTTGTGCTCGATTTCTCCTTGAGCAAGAGGGGCCGTGGTGGCACCGAGAAGTCTGGGATCCGTTGTGCTCTCCCACATGTGGGTTTGAGCTCCTCCGGGCTGGGAACTGCCCCAGGTTGGGCAGGTCTGTGCAGAGATAACCCCCCTCTTCTCACAGCTCATAACTCTCCCCAAATATACCGCTCTGCTGTTTCAGCCTAGAACGGGGGTGTTGGGCAACATCTGCCGGTTATCTCGGCGCTTCAGAGCTGTTTTTTTTTTTTTTTTTGAGACATCCCTGTCTCAGCTGCCGGTGAATTAAACTATTCCTGGCGTGGCTGGAGCAGAGCGTGGAGTGAGCAGCGACGTGTCTTGCTCAGATGAGTAAGCGGAAAGGGGGACGTGCTTTCCAGGGCTCTGAGCTGTGCTTGGAGTGGCTTTTCCCTCCCGTCAGAGACTGCAGCGTGGCTGGCTCTGATTTATTAAAAGGGCTCTTTCCTTTCGCTCCTGTCGCTCGTCATTGATGCAAACGCGCTCCTCGCATCACCCGATTTAAACGCGTTTGTCTAATGCGGGTACAATATAGCAGCCGAAAATCCACTTCTTAAAGAGATCAGGGATAATGAGATTCGTCTCCAATCAGCTTAAAATCCCTTGAAACAATTAAAGCTCAGCCTGGCAACTCATAAGCGTCAAAGGCTTCTGATGAATGGAAACCTTAAATCAAATCAGCGTTTAAGAAAACACTTTTGTTTAGGTGATAAAATCCCCCGAGACGAAGTGCTAAAAGAACCGTAGGAGCCGCCAGAAAAACAGCTGCAAAACCGCTGGTTTTTATGAGAACTTTTTAAATCTAAGGTGTCCAGGGCTGTGTCCCCGGAGAGGGACCCGAAATCCCCGGTGTGCCGGGATTCAGGCGGGCGTGGGGCCAGAGCCTCCTTAAGAGGCGGCGGTGTGGGGTGACGAGCCGCTTCCAATTGCGAGGCAGCAGCACATGACATAAGATGCTCCAGATCTGCCTCCTGGGCGCTAGTTTAAAAATAAAGCCTATTCCACGTCGGGCCGGGCTCGGCGCCGGTGCGGAGCGGAGGCTGCGGGACGGCGATGCGCTGTGAGGATGGAGCTCTGCGGGGTGGGGGGGGGGCTGGGAGCCGAGCGGGAGCGTTTTGGGGCACAGGGAGTGTGAATTTAAATTGTCTGGCTCGTTGGGCTCTCTCAGAGCTGTGGGTGTCACACTGGTTTTGGTGCCGGGTGGAGGTTTCAGCAGGTTTTTAAATTAACAGTGGCGGCGTCTGCTGTCAGAATTTACCATGTTTCATGCAGGCTCGAGTTGTGCCTCTTTGGGGCTGCCTCTCTCGTGTAGCTTCATCGACTGAAGCTGATTTACCGTAGAATTTGGTTGTATTTTAATTGTTAAAACCTGTTTTCACAGGGTCAATGCTGTGTGAGTCAGAGGCACGGATGGCACTCGCTGAACCAGTCCCCATGGCTTATTGTAATTCAGCTCCTGAAGGGAACTGTGAGGTGTCACTGAGTGATGTGCTGCTCAACTCTTCACCCAGGTGTGTCTAATTTAAGGTTTTATTTAACCTGTGTACATAGTTTGTATTCTAATCTTGCTTAGATTAATTAAAATAATTTTGGAAGAGCCTCTGCAGGGGACAGCTCGTGTGTGGTGCCTACACTGATCTCCACCAAACTCCTCTAAGAGGCTGCTTAGATTTACAGACTGAAGAGCAGATTAGTATTTAAGGGTCTATAGCTCCCCACAGCATAATGGGATCTAGCTGAATAAAACCTCTTTACCTAAGTTTTTTCAGGCTACACTGAATTACATGTCATAAGGGGGAGAAAAAGATGACTTGATTGACTGTGAGAGAAATAGCTGGGGCTTTTTTTGCTCATCTTACTGGGACATTTGCATGCTTTGATCATAAAAGCTGGTGGAGAAATGGCGCAGAACTATTGCTACTGAGGATTAATTTGTGCTGAAAAATGTTCTCGATAATGAGGAGGGAACATCTCATAATCCCTTTGGGGGAAATAAAAGAACATTATTTACTCAACTCTGGTTGTTGGCTTGGAGACTAGTTCAGGGAAGCACTTCTGCTTTTGGACAGTACATGGGGTCAGCCATGTCAGGTCTTCTCTGTGCCTTAAATCTTATATTCCCAAAGCAGTAACAGTTGACTATTCCCTAGAAAATCAGAGCAAGCATAAGCCAGAGGGAAGGAATTTCCCCCTTACACTGAAATTCTCATAGTGGCTGTGCTGACTTGCCTTGTCTCTGATCTGGTAGAAAGGGAATAAAATGTGGGGTTCAGTGGAAGCCCTGCCTGGATTAGCCTGAGGAATTTGTGTGGGAGCAGAGGAGCTCCCACCTGTCTGCTCCTTTTTGCTCCAGAGCTGTCCTACAGAGTTTTGGGGTTATTGTGATGTCAGGGCCCTGCAGCCCTTCCAGAACACCCTGGAGCTGGAGCTACAACCAAATGTTGTCATGCGGAAGAGCAAACACCGAGCACTGGCCTGGTGAAACACCTTCATGATGGCCTGAAGAAAAGGGCCTTGGTAGGGCAAGGCAAGATGGAAATTTTGGGTCTCTGGAGTATAATCTTGGGTCAGCTAGAACTTGGATTTAGGGCTATGCTGATGGTCCAGGCAGGGTATTGCCCAGGGCAGGGGAACAAGCATCAGCTGCCTGGTTGGAGGGTGGACTGTCCTTCTAGGGACCAAATCCCAAATCTCACAGGGTCTGGCTTACAGCTCATGGTCTCAAGTGGCACATGCAACTTGATTATGCCATATCCTCATCATTAGGGCTGTGAGAAAGTCTTTCTTGGAAAGGGCTGGAGGAAGAAAACTGGTTTGCAGCCGGGGCAAGTGGTGCTTCACCAGGTCTTGCAGGGCTGGAAGGAAAAGGGATGACTGGGAGGAGCGTGGCTGGAGTACATGGGATGTGCCTGTTCCCATTCCTTCACAGACATCTGGTGGGAGCCCAATGGCTGTATTAGGAATACACAAGAACAAGATTTCCTGTGAAATCAGTTTCCTGCTCTTCTGCAGGAAACATCCATGGTTTTTCCCACAGGGTGACTTGAGGCATGCCCTGAGGCCTCCTTGTTGTTGAACTCATTTTGCAGAGAGGAGATGAGCACCAGATCCATGTGACCCTTCCTACCCCCCTCCTCCTCTTCCTCCCAGCTGCAGATTCTTTATTTCAGGCACCTGGAACAGACCTCTGGAGTTAAATGATGGCTGTTTTGGGGCTGATAAGTTTATGGGTTGCAATGAAAGCTGCAATTAGGGCAATATCCATGTGTTCAAAACCAGCCTAGGCAAACCTTGCACACTCTGAGGGACCTGAGCCATGCATGGTAGTGGATTAATAAAGTCACCTGCAGGACATCAGGAGCCACTTCAACATCCAAGGATTTAGTGAAATGAAGTGATGGAGCAAACCTGCCCTCAGTGTGCTCATTCAGGGATAACTGCTTTTGCCTTGCAGAACTCCTGAGCCCCACAACATCAAGCCAGGGGAAGATTCCAACATGGAGAGACATCAGCTGGACTCAGTTGATCCCAAAGGTGAGTGGGGAGAAGTTTGGTCACTGTGATGTGCATAAAATTATTGTTGGAATGAGAGAGGAATTTGTCCAACCATAAGGATGGAAGAAGGAGCTCAGGGTGCAGGATAGCCTGTCCAGAGAACTTAGACTTTGAAGCACAGTTGTGCTTTGAGGAGTAAATAAGTAGTGTCAGATACCAATGTCCTGCTTTCAGTCCTCCTTAAAAGAAAAAAAAAATTAAAAATAGCAGAGTATATGCTGGAGGAAGTTGCCACCTTACAGTGCAAGAGCTTTCGAGCAGAAGAGCGGGTTAGAGGAAATGTTTAACAAAATTTCGAAGTGCTTTAGAGGCTCCCAGTCCAAAATACTGGGGGTCCTGTGGCAAACTTGCCAAGAGGAAAAGGTCAAAAAAGGGGTGTGAGGGGGGTATAACAACATTTACTATTGTGTGCTTGATACTTGGATTTATATTTCTGTCATGGCAACAAGAAATGTTGAAACCTAAGATGCTGAACCCTTTCTTTCCAAGCAGCCTCCTCCTCCCCTGCCTCTAGAGTGTGGACAACACATCGGGATGGGGAGGTGAAGCTGAGGATGGAAGACCAGGGAATAGGCAGTGAACCACCAAAGACTGTTCACCAGCTCTTCCAGGAAACTGTCAATAAATATGGGGACTATTATGCCCTTGCATCCAAAAAAGGTGGCCAGTGGGTCAAACTAACATACAAAATGTACTATGATGAGTGCTGTAAAGCAGCAAAAAGCTTTCTGAAGGTGAGTTTTTGTTGAGCTCTTGTTCATATTCATTGAATCACAGAGTGGTTTGGGTTGGAGGAGACCTTCTAGCTCATCTCATAAAACCTCCTGCCATGGGCAGGGACACCTTCCACTAGCCCAGGTTGCTCTAAGTCCCATCCAACCTGGCCTTGGACACTTGCAGGGATGAGGCAGCCACAGCTTTTCTGGGCAACCTGTGCCAGGGCCCCACCACCCTCACAGGGAAGAATTCCTTCCCAATATCTAATGTAAATCTCTCCTCTTTTTGTTTAAAACTGCTCCCTCTTGTCCTACCACTGTGTAAAAAGTCAGTTTAATGTTCACTCATTTAAGTACTGGAATGGCTGCAGTTAATTGTATTTTAAACCTGCAAATTCTCTGAGTGTAAATGAGTCTTTCAGTGACAGTGAAGTACCTGAACATGCCATGGGCACCTTGGTACTTCCCACAGGGGTTTTGTCTGAATTTATTGCAAGTTGCTTCCACATTCAACTTCAAAAAAAAGCATTTAAGGAAACATATAAAGTGAGGTGTTTGAGGTTTTGAGGCAAACCTGGACTCTGCACCTCCAGAGTCTTGGAAATGTTAATCTTTCAAATTCAAAATTTGAAGGGATGCTTGTGAACTAGCCCTAAATGTCCCATCTGGCCCTGCCTTTTGCCTGTGCTGTTGAGATTGAGACAGAGAGGGAAATCAACACTCCGTGTTCTTACTGTTGTGATGAAGTCTGGCTTCTTCAGGTTATGGTCACCCTGGTCTTCACTCCCGCGGTGGGATCTTCCAGTCTGGGACAAAACCCGAAGGAGATTTAAAGACTGGGACTTCTCCAGCTGAAATTTCATCCCAAAATGTCTCTGACTGTCACTGGAGCTTGTTGCTCTTGTCACTGTGGATATCTGATATATCCAACTGTATTAAATGTCTCAGGAGGTGTTATCTAACTTCACCTCTTCTCCTTCCAGAGGGAACTGAGAACTCCCTGGATTGCAGGTTTGTATTGGTGTCAGTGAGCCAGGCATTCCAAGCACAGAGCTCCGCAAATCCCTTTTTCCTTCCCACTCATAGCAGGACAGTGCCTGTTGTGGAACTTAACTGGTTCCATCCTGGCTCTTGGGAAGTTTTTCAGTGGGAATCACCCTGTCCAACAACACAAACTCTCTCCTCTTCCCTGTGTTTGCAGCAGAGATCTGTAAATTAACTCTGAGCTTTCTTCGAAGGAAAACCAAGAGTACTGTAATTCCATCTCTTGTTTACAGCTGGGGCTGCAGCGTTTCCATGGAGTGGGCATCCTGGGATTTAATTCTGCTGAGTGGTTCATTGCTGACATTGGAGCAATCCTTGCAGGGTAAGAACAAGTCTTGTCTCTTGCCATGAATTTTGGCACTCAGTAATTGCAGTATCCACATGAGAAGCAGGTTTTGATTAAAAACCCCCAACTAAACCAACCACAAAAAAAACCCAAACCCAATTGTTTGTATTTTAATATAATGAAGGAAACTACAACCTCAACTTAATTCAGAATGAATTAATGAGACAAAAATTAATATTTTTGTTTTTAGCCAAATGCTTCTCTCAAAATAAGATGACCAGTAGGTTAATCCAAAAGATTTCTTATATATACTGTGATTAAAAATATGATGGGAAATGCCAGAGAATACCAGGGCTGGATTTTGATATCTTCCTTCCATCTGAGACATTTTGGACCCTTACACCACTCTGACATTTCCCATGCCCTACATCAGAGCCTTTGCTCTTGGAATTAAACCCTCCACTTTTTCTTGTCATATTATGGGATATTCTTCTCAAAGTTTTTCCTCTGAAAAGGTCTGAATTTTGCCAGCAATTCTTCTTGTCCTCTGATTCTGTGTTTTGCTTTTCTGTTTTGTATTTTCCCCTCTTCCCTTGCAGGGGATTTGCTGTTGGGATCTACACAACAAACTCTCCCGAGGCCTGTCACTATGTGGCAGAGAACTGCAGTGCTGATGTTATAGTGGTGGAAAACCAGAAACAGCTGCAGAAAATCTTAGAAGTAATTCTGTTTTTCAGATGTCTGGGGGTTACGGAATCCTGTTGACAGCTGTGGGAGAGTAAATGCTGTGGGAGGGTAATACCAGAGGGTAGTGCTGGCTCTGAAAGCAGAGGTGAACTGGCTGAGCCTTCTTGGTGCCTGGCGATGGGTTCTCTCTGGTACTGAGTCTCACAAGAGGTGAAGTGGTGGCTTCCCTTCTCAAAGCCTTGAGAAGCCAAAATGAACAGTTGAGCAGCCTCTAGGATGTCTGGCAACATCCCAGCTCACATTATGAGTTTCTAGTGAGGCTTCCCTGTTATTTCAGTAGCAGAGATGGGATTCTCTTGGCTTTACATAAAATGGCAAATAGCAGGAGCATGTCAAGTGGTGGGTTGTGTGGCCTGGAAGGGACAAGCAAGATTTGCTCCTTCTCGTGAATCTCCCTTCTTAACACAGATTGAGGATAGACTACCTCAGCTGAAGGCCATTGTCCAGTATGGGGAAGAGATAAAGGAGAAGAGTCCAAATCTGTACTCGGTAAGTCCTGGGCATCTTCATGGCTTTTAAGTCCTGGTTGTGTTCAGGTGATATCTCCAAGTACCTGTCACCTTCCATGGGACCTTAAACATCCCTGCCCGTGGCAGGGGGTGGAATGAGGTGGTCTTTAAGGTCCCTTCCAACCCAAACTAGTGTGGGATTCTGTGGCTGTGATCCCATGAGCTCGTGTTGGCCATGGTGAGGGATTGCCTGCCCCACTGGGCAGGAGCTGTTGTGCAAACCTGGATAATCCCTGCTCTAAGGAGGATGCTGGATTACCAACCTCTGCATGGCAGCCCTGAGTCCCACAGTTACTCCAGTGAGTACCAGGATTGCTACAAAGCAGGAAAGCTGCTCAGGATGGGTCTGTCTCCTTTCTGCTTCTCTTGTGGCAGCCAGAAGACAGTGTGGGGCAGTGCATATCTTCCAGAGGCTTGGACACAGGGAATGGCTTCCTTCTCTTCGTGTGTAGCAAAGAGTTTAATTTTTCACATGAAAGATCACAAAGTGATGGAGCTCTTCTCTTCTCTGCACAGTGGAGTGAGTTCATGGAGCTGGGCAGGGATGTCCCAGACACTCTGCTCCACTTGGCCATCGCGGCGCAGAAGCCCAACCAGTGCTGCACCCTCATCTACACCTCGGGGACCACGGGGCAGCCCAAGGGGGTCATGCTCAGCCACGACAATGTGAGTGTCTGCTCCACCCTGCTGCCACCCCTGGAGCTGTGACAGATCAGCTGGATTCATTCCAGAATCATGGAATGTGCTGAGTTGGAGGGGACCACAAGGGTCATCAGTCCAACTCCTGCCCTGCACAGACACCCCAACAATCCCACCCTGTCCCTCAGAGCATAGTCCAAATGCTCCTGGAGCTCTGGCAGCCTTGGGGCCGTGCCCACTGCCCTGGGGAGCCTGGGCAGTGCCCCAGCACCCTCTGGGGGAAGAACCTTTCCCTGAGATCCATCCCAACCCCCCTGGCACAGCTCCAACCCTTCCCTGGCTCCTGTCCCTGGTCCCAGAGCAGAGCTCAGTCCCTGCCCCTCCGCCTCCCCTCGGGAGGAGCTGCAGCCCCCGAGGAGTCTCCCCTCTGTCTGTTCTTGAGCTGAACAAGCCAAGTGCCTGATGTTGAGATCACAGGATGTTGTACCTGTGTGTTCTATGCTGTCCCTGCCTGGAAGGACCATCCCTGACCCCCCCATGGGTTCTGTTCCAGCTGACGTGGACGGCGGCAGTGGCCGGACGGTCCATCATGCTCACGGACCCCAAGGAGAGGCAGGAGCAGGTGATCAGTTACCTGCCCCTCAGCCACATCGCTGCCCAGATGTCTGATATCTGGTCAGCCATGACCTTTGGAGTGCAAGTTTACTTTGCTCAGCCAGATGCACTGAAGGTAAAAACTTAATAATAAACCTACACCCACCCACCTGCTCGTAGCTCAAAACAAGGCTGTGTTATCCCATGGTTCTGAAAGCTTTGCTGACTGGGTTTACTTGCCCAGTGACCAACTGCCCCTGTTGGTTTTAGAGCCACTCTGACCTTTGCCTTTTGACTCTCTCCCAAGCCTGGGAGAAACTGACCCAGCACTTCACAGCTGAGACCTGCTGAATGTCTCACCTGACACCTTTCCCTACCCCAACAGCTGGTTGAGTAACAGCTTTGTGTTTGCTCTGCCTACGTTGCACAAGTTAAATCTGTAACACCACTTCAATCTGGGGCCTGAGAAAGGGATTCTGCTCCCTGTGCTGCATCAGCATGGACCTTTGCTGCCTTCCCAGTTTCCATTGGAATGCCCTGGGGGGTTCGTGTCTGCCGATGGCACTGCACAAAATGAGCAGTTCCTCAAAGCTCATGGCAGAGTCCCAAGTTCTGGCTCATGACTGGTGCTGACCTGAAGTCTGCAGTGAAGCACTTCTAAAAACTGCATCAAATTCTGCTTGTCTCAGGGCAGCTTGGTGGAGACCCTGAGGGAAGTGAGGCCAACTGCTTTTCTCGGGGTTCCTCGTGTCTGGGAAAAAATGGAAGAAAAGATGAAATCCATAGGGATGAAATCGTCGGCACTGCGGAGGAAAGTGGCCTCGTGGGCCAAGGGAGTGGGGCTGCAGACCAACCTGAAGAGGATGAATGGGTAATTATGAGCTGCAATTAAGGGATGCTCATGAGTGTTAGGAGAACTTTGCTATCAGATCAGGGATTATCTTCCATTCAGGGATTATATCCAACATAACAGGTCAGATTTGTGGGCAATAAAGCCAAACTTTAGGGTGAGCAGCAAAGGCTGGAGGGCAAATAATTCACCGTTTTACTAAATAAACTAAACTGGGATGAAGAGGAAAGGAGGAAGGGAAAGAAGTTCTACTTGGAGGCTGAGACCTTGTGCCCATTTTCCTCCTCCAGGTATTCTGAGGTGCCGGTGAACTTCCGCCTGGCCAAACACCTGGTGTACAGGAAGGTGAGGAAGGCCCTGGGGCTGGACCAGTGCACCAAGTGCTACACAGGAGCTGCTCCCATCACCAGAGAGACCCTGGAATTCTTTCTGAGCCTGAACATTCCCGTGTTGGAGCTCTATGGGATGAGTGAGAGCTCTGGGCCTCACACCATCTCCCTCCCTCACGCCTTCAAACTCACCAGGTGAGACCAGGGCTGAAGGGTGGGGTCAGGGTTTCTCCTGCATCTGGCATGTCCATCTCTCCTCATGCAGCTCATCCTGAGTTTTGCTACCACTAAAGGGTCACTGGGGAGCAGGTTCCTTTGGCCACGTCTCACAGATGGAGATCTGCCAAGGGCAGCAGCAGCAGGGAGACTTAAATTGAACTTAGCTGGATTCTGGAGGAGCTGAGGAGGAAGGGAGGGGCTAGTGGGAAGAGGAAGAGTTGGTAACTCCAGCCTACACTTTAATGGCAGTGAGGGTGTCTTTGAGTGGCTTGTTCAGTCTGCACAGTAAAAGTTTGCTGCCAAGGACATAAATCTTCTCATTCAGAGCTCAGGTGTGGAGAACAACGAGTGGAAAACCCTAGGTGTGTGAGCACTGATCTCTGCAATAACAACACTTGCTGTAGCTTCCCTTACATGAGCTTCCCTTACAAGGAACCTTTTAAGCTCCTTCCTGAAGCCATTGTACTAAAAAGCTGCTGGGCTTTGTTCAAGCTCGAGGGGGTGCTGCTGTAATCTCTGCTTGAAATGAATTTAAAATCAATTATTGCCGTGGGTCTGTGTTCTCTTGCAGCTGTGGGAAGGAACTCTCAGGCTGCCGGACCCTCATTCATAAGCCAGACAGGGATGGCATTGGGGAGATCTGCTTCTCAGGGAGGCACATCTTCATGGGCTACTTGAACATGGAGGACAAAACCAAAGAGGCCATCGATGAGGATGGGTGGCTGCACTCAGGTGATCTGGGCAAGCATGACAAAGATGGATTCCTCTACATCACAGGCAGAATTAAAGGTAACTCATCCCCTGACTTGGTTGTCTTGATGTTGTGCAGCACTATGCAATCACAGAGGTATTAAGCTGGGAAAGACATCATGGCATCCAGCCATTCCCCCAGCACTGCCAAGGCCACCACTAACCCATGTCCCCACATCTACACATCTGTTAAATCCCTCCAGGGATGGTGACTCCACCACTGCCCTAGGCAGCTGTGCCAATGCTGAACACTCTTTCAGTGAAGACATTTTCTCAATATTCAACCTAAATGTCCCCTGGTGCAGGGGAGGCTCTGCTGGTTGTGTGGTTGTGGCTTGCACAGATTATTTCAATCCTTCTCCTTCTGGAGTTTCCACATGAATGTGGCTGCAGTGTGTCCTGTTTGGAGGATGGGGGAGAAACCCTTCGATTTCAGCAGCAGCACTTAATGCTTTGTGGGCTTGTTGTGCCACCAGTTTCAGGAGCTTTGCTGGGTGACTTCCAGGGAAAACAACAGCTTAACCCTGTTGTGCAAGTGCCTTTTAGCAATGAGGTTCTTGGGACACTGCTTTGAGCAACCCCAAACAAAGCCAACAAGAAAGACCTCCAACCTCAGCAAATCTTCATTTTCTGACAATTTGGGTGCCAGCTTAGGTGCCTGAGAGTCCAAGGTGTGTGTGCCAGGGAGCCGAGGGCTCATCCCGTGTTCCCAAACTGCAAACACCTCCCGAGCATTGAGGCAGCTCTCGCAGGGCTATGTGTGTGTTCCTGGCTCCAGCTTCTCTCTCCTGGCCTGGCTGGAGACATGGAGTCATCATTAAGGTTGGAAAAGCCTTGTAAGATTATCAAGTCCAACCATTCCCTCAGCACTGCCCAGGCCACCACTAACCCATGTCCCCAAGTGCCACATCCACACATTTTTTTGAACACTTCCAGGGGTGGTGACTCTACCACTTTCCCAGTCCTGGTGTGCTGCCTTCTCCACTCACTTTTTGATCAAGGAGACATGAAGGAGCTGTTGAGTTGTTTCAGATTGTGGGAAGCGAGAAGCTCCAGGCATTCACCAAGATTTGACTGTTTTCCAGAGCTCATCATCACTGCGGGAGGGGAGAACGTTCCTCCTGTTCCGATCGAGGATGCCGTCAAAAATGCTGTTCCCATCATCAGCAATGCCATGTTGGTTGGGGACAAAGCCAAATTCCTGTCAATGCTTCTGACACTAAAGGTAATGGAAAACAGAGAGGGAATCCACCTGTGTCGCTGAATGTGATCAGTTCCAGGGAGGAAGAGGATTGTTGCACATTTTTGGTGTCTTGTGGAGACAGGAGGCTCTGTGGGGCACAGTTTGTTGTACCTGAGCTGCAAAGAGCAGCTGTAACCACAGCAAAGTTGTCACTTGCTCAGACCACCCTGTTCAGGGCAACTTTCTGTGCCACAAAGGGCAGGAAGAAAGAGAAGGGAAAGACCTAAAAGTGAGGCTGAAAAAGGAACCCTTCTGCTTTTCTCATCCACTTTAGTCTCTCCCAAGCAGTCTGGGCAATAAGCAGCTGTCAGGGATTGCTTTGTCAGACTCTGGCTTCAAACTCCACCAGGACATCCACGGTGGTCCCACATAGGCTTTGCAGGACAGTGGGAATTAGTGAGACTTAGGATCAACAGCCTCACCTGGGGTAGGAGACCCAAGCCAGGCCCTGGAGGTGGCCCTGCTGTGCTTGTCATGGTTCTGTGCTGTGTGTATTGACTGTGGGGTGCAGGGAAGTGAACTGTGGCCCAGAAAAGGTCTGGAAAAAAGTGATTAACTTTACATAGCACAGGAGGGATTTGGCAGATGAGCTCTGTTTGGTCCTTGGCATCAAGGTGGCTGTTGAGCAGGCAGAGCTCTGGGGTTTATCCATGTTTTGTCCCAAGTGTCCATTGGCTGCCAGGGTTTGGATGAAGCTGCAGGGGCGGGTGGAGTGACAGCTGGGAGCAGGGTGGGAAGGGAAGCCCTGGCACCATCCCAGGGCAGTGTTTTGGTGCTCAGCAATACAAAGGGACCTGTTGTGGCTCGTCCTGCAGTGCAAGGTGGATGCAGAGACGGGTGAACCGGGGGATGAGCTCACTCCAGAGGCTCTGGAATACTGTCAGAAGCTGGGCAGCAAGGCCACAAAGGTCTCTGAAATCATCAGCAGCAAAGACAAGGCCATCTACGCTGCCATCCAGAAAGGCATCACAGCGGTCAATGAGGGAGCCACCTCCAATGCCCAGAGAGTCCAGAAGTGGGTCCTTCTGGAGAAGGACTTTTCCCTCTTTGGTGGAGAGCTTGGTGAGTGATGGGTGAGGCATCTGGGGTCCCCCATGCACCCCTTCCTTGGCTGTTGAACACCAGCATAACCAGGACCCCCAAAACAGAGCTCCCCATGGCCTTTCCTCGCCGAGGCTTTTCCATGTTGCAGTTTGGGGGGTGGGATGAGTTGGGATGAATTCCCACCTTTGCCCAGCAGCACCGAGCTGAGCTGTGCTCACCCTTGTTCTGAGATGCCTCTTGCAGGATGATGGAATCACAGAATGTCCTGAGCTGGAAGGGACCCACAAAGATCATCCAGTCCAACCCCTGGCCCTGCACAGACACCCCAACAATCCCACCCTGTCCCTCACAGCGTTGTCCAAACGCTCCTGGAGCTCTGGCAGCCTTGGGGCCGTGCCCACTGCCCTGGGGAGCCTGGGCAGTGCCCCAGCACCCTCTGGGTGATGCTGTGCTGCTTCTGTTCACAGGGAAGGAGGGAGGGAGATTCCATTAATCCCAAAGACAACTTTAGAACTGGTCACTGTCCCTGTGTTTCATCTCTCCCTCCGAACTTGCTTCACCCCAGTGAAGATTTGTGCTCCCTGTGGCTCCCTCTCCATTAAACCTTGTGCTGATTCTCCACAGGCCCAACCATGAAGCTGAAGAGGCCAGTGGTGGCACAGAAATACAAAGCCCAGATTGCTCAGTTTTATGCAGATGTGGACACTCCCAATGGGGAGACCTCGGCCCAGCAGTAACCCAGAGGAGATCCCCCAGCTCCCCAGGAAGGATTCCCTGGATTCTGTTGGAATAAAGAGGCTCTGCCATCATGCAGCCCCTTGGCTTGCTTTGCTGTCCATGTTCTGGCCCTGCCCTGCAGTGTGGTGAGCGTGGTCACGCCCATGTTCTCCTGTGTCTGTGTTCCCTGCTGAAATATCCCAAATACCTCAGCTCTGTTATTTTTTATTCCCATTTTTATAGGGACAATGCAATGTTTACCTTCAATCCATGTGACATTATGTTTTAACCAAAGTTTTCCTTTTTTTTTCTTCCTGAGCTGAATGTAAAGCAGGAGCTGTAAATCAGGAGCTGCACTTTCCCTGCTGAGGGAGAAAGGCAGATTCCATTTCCCAGCAGTGTCCTTGCTCCCTCCCTCTGCACGTTTCCCTGCATGCTGGTGGCATCCATGTTGTTTTAAATCTCTTTCCCCACAAACCCTGTCTGAGGTGGCAAATGCTGGGTGACTGCACAGAGCAGTGGAGTTGGAACCTCTCATGGACTGGGTTTGTCTGTGCAATATTTTGATTTTTTTTAATCTTTTTTTGAGCCATAAATTGTACCATTGAAGTAGAATCTATGGCTGGTGTTCTGGAAGTGATTTACTCCAGGGGCTATTTATAAGGCTTGTGTACAGTGTGTGAAATCTGTCTGTATCTTACAATCTAGAAATGTCGTCGTGTCTGAAATGGGAAACTCCAGAGTGGGGGGGTGGGTGGACTGAGGGTTTGTACCTGTGCTTGGAGAGAGGACACAGTGCTGGGAACCCAGTGGTTCTTTTGAAGGTCCATGATCAGCCATCCCAGCCATCCTGTGAAGGTCCTTCCCGTGGGATTCATTGGCTGTAGGACACACGATTAGGGACTTGCAAAGCTGGAGGGAAGTATCTGTAACCAGCAGCTCCTCGTGGGTCTCCTCTAAGTGGTTCTGCAGGGTTTATTCCAGGCTGCCCCATGCCCAGGAGGGCCTGGGAATCCCAACAGCAAATGAAGGATTGCCTGTAAGATGGGTTATTTCAAACCAGAAATTCTCACCTCGACTCAAGCAGGACAGCCCAGCCCTGGTTCCAAGTATCTCTTCCCATGGAAAAGGAGGAGCAGTGGGAGGTGGTGGGTGCAGGTCAGAGCAGCTCTGTGCTGGTTCACACTCTGGCTGGGCTGGGCATGGACTGGACCTGGGCACCTCGGGGGTGGGTTAAACCCCAAAGTGTCTCTGATCTGGGCTCAGGGAAATTCCCCCTGCCCCTGTGGAAGGGTGGGAAATGCACTACTGTACCTGCTGCTTATGCCCTGCAATGTGTGTTCGGAGCTGTTGGATTTGCCGCGGCTCCAGTGTTTGGAAGAGGAATGTGCAATAAACAAACTCTGCAGTTTGTGTCTCCTGACTCCTCAGTCATTCCTGGAAAACATGGATCTGAGGGCCTGGGGCACAGGGGGGGAGCAGCCAAGGGCTGTGTGACATTCCCACAGTGGGAAGGGGATGGAAGGTCTCACCCTTACCCTGTGCTGAGGAACCTGTGCCAGAGCTCTGGGCCCTGTCTTGGGCTTGGGACAAGGTCAGGCATGTTCTGGGAGCAGTGGAGACTCCCCCAAATCCCATGGGAGCAGATGGGGAGCACTTGCACCTCTCCTGCTCTGGCCTGTTTCCCCTCACATGAACCAACGTAAAGTCCAATGTATTAAGGGACATCAGAGCCTTCCCCCACCATCCTGTCCTTAAAACAATTCCCTTTTCCTTAGCTTTTCACCTCCCCCTGCAGCCAAGGGCATCACCAGCTTTGGTGCTCCTAATGGGAAACATTTTCCATGAGGAGGTGCCACAGTGTCATCCCTGGAGAAGCAACACAACAACCAAAAAACACTTGAAGTTTTACTTTTCCATCTTACTTTATTTCACTTTTTCTAGAAAATTCCTCCATAGTTCCACAAATTTAACAAAAAGTTTAAAATTCAGGACCAACAATCCTGTAACGTATTACAAACATGAGATTTTTTTTTTTTTTATTTGTTTTTTAAATCTTGCAGTTAGTCTTGGGCCAGCTGCATTTCTTACAGCTAAGTGAAGAACTCATCTCCCAACACAACTTTTAAAATCCTCAAGTGACGAGGTATTTAATACCTCGGCTCTAGGCAGAAATACAATTAAAAATTCTCTAGAAGTTGAAGTACTTACATTTTTTCTTTAGGAGTGCAAACTCATCTTGTCAGTTTTTGATGGCTATTTCATGCCCCAGGGAAGCCACACCGAGTGATTTGGGTCCTTTTGAGCACTAATACCTGTCCAGGTGCACCAGGGGTGGCCACAGCATCACCCCTGGGTGAGCAGAAAGGAGCCTCATCCGAGCACAAGGGGCTCCAGTGCATCCCCAATGGAAAATCCGTGGAACCAGAGCGACTCGGGCACCTCCAGAAGGGACATTCCAACCTCTCTCACCATCAAACACATTCCAAGATCTGACAAAAAAACCTGCTTCTGGATCGTTGCATCAATTGCTTGGTTGGTTCTGATGCTCCCACTGCACCCAGCGATCCCACGGGTGGCAGAGTCATTGCACTTCCATGGATTCAGTCTGACCGCAGCCGGCCTCGCTACCTACAGCTCCCAGACTCCGGCTAGACTTTGGCTCCAGCCTTCTTTCTTTTCCTCTTTTTTTAATTTTTCCTCTTTTAATACATGTCAGTAATGAAAGCCTCAAGGCTTAATACACAGCAGACCAGGACCCAGGACAACGCTCCCGGCCCCTCTTCTGCCCTTGGATCTGACGGCCAAGGACGACGAGGAGCCGAGTCCTGATCTCACCTCCAACACGATTCAAGTCACAGCAACTCTGGAAGCCTTCAGGGCTGAGCAGCACCTATTTGTGCCACCAGCAACATGATGAAGGACATGGAAAAGTAACAGAGTCCTGCCTGTTTTCCTTGGAAAAACCATTATGGCTACAAGTCAATTTGGGATTTTCTTTTTTTTTTTTTTTTCCTTTTTTTTAACAACGCAAGCTACAACACATCCTCGAGGACCTGAAGCAATGCCTGCAGCAGCACTGCCCCCTCCTTCCTAGAGTACGATAATCCATCCATGCTCTCAAGAGTGACACAAGAACAAACACTTTATCCACAAAAACCTGTACATGGCCTGTTCAGCACAGTGTTCAGCCAGCCTAGAGGGAATCTACACAGGGAACTCCAAGGGGACACAAGATGAGGCCCAAATCTGACCATCCTTTGCTTGTAGTCATTCCTCCTGTGCTCCCCAACGCTACTACATACCCCAAAAAACAACAACTGTAGAACAACTAAGTACTTGCAAGAAACCTTTTTAGTAACAAATCAGCATGTGCACACAATGGAGAAGAACTATTGCTGGGGGACAATCCTACCTCGGGTTCTCAGGGGGAATTATAAACAGTCTAAAAAAATCCACGTGTAAAATACTTCTTATGAAAACCAAACCAAAGCCCTCTCAATGCTCAGCAGATTTCATCAAGAAAGTCACTTCCAGGACAGGACGATGCCGTGGCCACAAGCCTTGGGCGCTTCCAGCCACATTCAGGAACATGCTCCCACATGTGTTCTTGGACTGGCTAGGAGCTGGGTGACCATGTGGATGTTGACTGAGAAGGGGCAGGAGGGAGGTGGCACCTCTGGTCCCCCATGGGGCACCTCTGGAGGCTGTGGATAGTCCCAGAAGTGCTGCGACACAGAGCTGTGGGAGCGCCAAACCCCGCTGGAGAGAGTCAGCAAAGAGATCTGAAGCCACCACGGCTGCTCCTCTGCTTTGGGGACAGGACAGTGCCACCAACCCCCCCTTCCATGGCAGTGCCAGGGAGCCCAGTGTGGGGCACAAAGCTGTGCCACAGATCCAACAGAGACATGAGGGGTTCGCAAGTACCCACCACAGGGTCTGTGGCCACCGTCCTCCACCACGGCACATCCCAGCTCCTGCTCTTCCCACTGTCCTCCACCTCCTCAGGGTTCCTATCCAGGCTTGGCATCGTCCATCAAGAAAGAAAACAGCTGAGATCACTGGTGTGACAGGGTTTGCACCTGGCATGAGCTTGAATTTTTACATATATATATATGTGTGTGTGTGTGTGTGTGTGTGTGTATACACACACAACGACACATGAAAGGTGGTACAATGACAAAATTAATGGGAATCAGGTCAACATGACCCAACTCAAACAAGCTTATCATCATATTGCCACTTCAGTTGATTAGTTGCAACATTTCCATGATAAAGAAAGGGGGTAACCCAAAACAAGGGACAGCAAACCTGGAGCGGTGCAACCCCCCCGGGATCACCCCTGCTCCCTCGCTGCCTGTGCCCCATTTGGCAAAAGCTTTACACCCCCCCTTGGAAAAATGAGCAATTCCTTGGAAAATACTGAATTTTAGGGACCAGGAGTGTAACATAGCTTTGATGGAGGCAGCGGGATTCCTGCACATCCACCTGGACAACACTTGGAGGTCAATACTAGTTTGACTAGAAATATAGGAGAGGTTCTGGATTAGTGTTTATGTTTCCTGCCTTTTCCTGCACAGGCAGAGGGGCGGCAGAGGGAGGAGGAAACAAACCTGACTCCACCTGTGTTTTTACATCAGCATCTCCCAGGTGTGTCCAAAGACCAAGTTCGCCCTTGTTTTGGTTTTCCCAAAGTACAGCCACTACTATAGGGGCCACTGTAGGAGATTCCTCTTTGAGAACACAGGACAAAACCAAATCACATGTTTTGGCAAAGTTATCCAACACTGACAAATGGAAAAGACGAGGGGTGAGCCCCTTCTGGAGCGTGGGATATGTGGAGGTTGCTGTCCAGCTTCCTTACACTACAAATTATCCACAAGAGGCAAGTAACAAATGAGTCAAATCTTATTAAGCGCCTTCTCTTGCCAGAGCCATTAAAAAAAACGACAGAAAAACACACCCTTAAGATCATAAGACCCAACTAGGCCCTTCTTATACATACAGTACATACATATATATAATATATATATATAAAATATACAGCTTACAGTTTTGGAGTCCTATTACAGTTAAAGCAGACTGAAAGGAGTGGGACTTTGTTTAGGAGCTCAGATCAACAAACATCTCCAAACCCCAGTGGGAGACAGCAGATTCCAGAGGCCTCTTCAGCGAGCACAGGGAGCTGGGGGTCCTGTTCCCACTGGGAGCTGAGTTACAGCAGTGCTCTGGACTGAACCGCAGCAGGACCACTGGCAATTCCCAACTGGAATCCATCCACTCTCCTCTGCAGCAGACCAGCAGGATCCTGGGAAGCCTCCTCTGTCACCAGTCTCTTTGTAAAAGCCAATCTGGCTTGGCAGAGCTGCAGGGATCAGGACACACAGGGGCTGTTCCCGAGGTTTGGTGATGGAAAAAACATCATCCACACTTCCTCAGATCTCAGAGACGCCTGAAAATGTGCTCTTGAAACACGAGTTGCTTGAAGTAAAAACCAAAAAAGGTTTGTGCAGCGAAGTGCAGCTCGTCTGCTCTGCCTGGGGCCTGGCCCAGCCTCCACACGAAGCCAGGGAGGGCAGACTCAGCAAGTCGGGCGCTGGTTTGAAGCCTACGAGAAAGTGCAGCTGGCTGAGCGTTCCTAGAGCATGGCTGTTCTCTAAGGCAGTGCTTTGGGGGAGGCAGGAGGATAAGAAGGCCTAGTTCCATGGGTTTTCCTGGTACCAATGAAGGGGGTTTCTGGTTTCAGAGCAGCCTGCTTCCCTCAGGCCAAGCGTCATGTGGCCACCGCCTCCAGGTAGCTCTGCAGCTTGCGGACGGTCGTCTCATCCAGGGAGAAGAGGTCAAAGTCAAAGGTTGTGTTGGTGACGTTGAAATGCCCGGTTTCCTCAATGAGATTCACGATCTGGGCAGGAAAGGGGACAGGAAGGATGTACAGAGACCTCACCAGGGGTAGGCACAGCAGAGACAGCAGGTATGCAGAACCCACCCAGTCCTCTCCCATCCCTTTGGGACAGCCTCAGAGATGAGGATGTCTCGCAACAGGAAGGGAATTCTCTCCCAAAAAAGCAAAATAGCTCCTCCTGCATGCCTGACTAGCTCAGTCTGGACAGTGATGTGGGCATATTTCTTTCCTTTTAACCACAGAATCCTGGAATATCCTGAGTTGGAAGGGACCCACAAGGACCATCCAGTCCAACCCCTGGCCCTGCACAGACACCCCAACAATCCCACCCTGTCCCTCAGAGCGTTGTCCAAACGCTCCTGGAGCTCTGGCAGCCTTGGGGCCGTGCCCACTGCCCTGGGGAGCCTGGGCAGTGCCCCAGCACCCTCTGGGGGAAGAACCTTTCCCTGAGATCCATCCCAACCCCCCTGGCACAGTTCCAGCCCTTCCCTGGCTCCTGTCCCTGGTCCCAGAGCAGAGCT